TTGTCACTTAACTTTTTTTAAATTTCATGTTAAATTTTATTAGGTTGTCATTTTTCATCAACAAAAGAATAAATCGTATAATCTATTATATATATATATATATATATATGAGACATCATCAAATTAAACTCTGGTTTATTACTCTCATTTGGTTTCATAAAAATATATCTGTTAGGTTATCTAAAACTCTTTCTTTTAGATTTAGTTATTCGTAGACTTTTTTTTTTTTACAAAAATATTTTTACTATAGTCACTAGCTTCTTATATTCTTTTTTTTCTTTTGAATACAACATCGTCAAATTAGTCTTACTGTCCTTCAACTACAAGAATTACTACTGCAGCTCCATTCAAAAGAAATAAAAAACTATTATACTTTCAATAAATATTTTTCATGAAAATAAATTTATCGAATTAAAATATTGTACATAAATTTTAAATTCAAATCCAGAGAACTGGTCATAAATAATCTATATATATATAGTTGAGTAGTATCAAGTAATTAGATCCTTCTAAAATTATATGATCTTTTTAAGCTTTCATTATCAACAAAAACTAACTATAAACATGGCAAGATTATTTATAAAAAGTTAGATTACAAAAAGAGTTATAATTTAGTTTTTAAATAAATAAATATTTTGTTATCAGTGTTTTCCATTTAAAATCATGTTATAATAATAGATGAAAGAAACAAAAATGTATATAAAATTTTTTATATAAAGACTGAAATATAAAATTTATTTATAAAAACTAATCTATAAACAAATGTCATTTATAAGGACTTAATGAGTATTTTGACTACCAACGGAGGTTGGTTTAGAGTTCTTATTTATGTAAAAAATTTACAGTGATAAGCTCACTCACTACGTTCAAATACGCGATCTGCGTTGGATCCGGTTTAAATCGAATAGAAAATTGAAAAAACAAATTAGTATTTTAACTAATAATTTTTAAAAATACTTATTTAGAAAAAAATAAAATATAAATAAAAACAACAAAATTTTAAGAAATTAAATTTTTATTTTTAAAAGATAAAAATATAAAATAAAAATATTACTTAATATCAATTTTAAACAACTAAATATAGTAAATTTTTATTAAAAAATATTTATTACATTTTTATTTAACAAAATACGTATTCTAACTAGAAATTAAAAAAAAAATCATGAGATGTCAAATAAAAACGTTATAAAATTTTAAGAAACTAAAAACTTATATTTTAAAATAAACTTATATATAGTATAGTTTTATATTTTAAAGATAATAATATTTTTTTATAAAGATTGTTTTTTTAAATGTGGTATAGTACTTAATGTGTAATAAAAATAATAATAATATTAATATTGATAATTTATTCATTCATTTGAAAGCATAATAAAATATAAATATATAATAAATTAACTTTATTTAGAATTGAGTTTTTGTAGAGAAAAGCAAAAGAAAAAAATTATAATATAAAATATAAGATTAAGTTTAAAATAATAATTATAATAAAAATTTATTAAAAATAGAAACACCTATTATACTTCTATAATTTTAATACGAAGAATAATTTTAAAAAAAATATTTAGATGCTTAAACTCATCTAAAAATTGATATTAACAAAATTTTCTTTGGTATTTGATCAGTTTTAGTCAACTGGTCCTTTTTTTAGTTCTTCTATTCTCCTTAGACAAAATCTGCCATGTAATACCTTAATTTAATTTTTTAAATAAATAAAATTTGCAATAAATGAGAATAATAATAATTTCATTCATTCTCAAACAGAGTTTTAATAAAATATTTCAAAATAAGGGAAGGTTATAAGTTTGCATCAAAATAAACGCTACAGGACTAATTTGAAATACATCACAATTTTCCAAAAATAATTTCCTAAGTTCTATAACAATTCTATCCCTCTCGTGCACGGAGTCTGATGCTGATTGTTTTGGCCATCTGAAAAATAAATATAAGAGTGGGTACCTTTATACATTTCACAACAATCACTAATATAATAAAATTACATTTAAACAAACATCAATCCATTCTTTTAACAATGTTCACACATATTTGCACATCCATTCACACACAGGTGCGCTCACTATACCCTCAAACATTTCATACACACACGTGCGCTCATTCCACGTTAGTCACGCTCACTGTGGCACCGTGATCACAGATTCCTGATGCCCTCAAACAGAGGTGTTAGTCAGAGGCCAAGTCAGGAGGAGAGTGTATAGCCTGTGGTGCACTCACTCTCACTGTTAGTGTCACCACCACCTTCTCTTCCCTAAGCTATTTCTACCGCCCCATCTTCCGCACCTCAGTGTATCGCTGAATCATTCATAGTTTCCAACCAATTCAAACACAATCATACTCGGCATGCCATTCACACACATTCTCACCCTTTTCATATTATTCAACATCAATCAATGACATGTCTACGCATACATTCACTTTAACACATGGCACGTATGTCCACATTCAATCATATTACACTCAAACATCCAATTTTCATCAAAACTCCACAACAATCAAATCACTTCATCACACACATCATTCATTATCTTTCACACACATTTTTCAATATCAATCACACTAAGTTCCAAACAAAATTTCCACTACACCTATCACAATCAAGTCATTTTCATCCTAATACACATCTTTCTACATTCTATTTCAATCACATTCCAATACACAATAAATTAAACAAATTCTAAGTACAATGAGATAGGGTAGAGTCTCCTCTTACCTCGAATTGAAGACCCAACACGAATTTATGATATAACACGTCCTTCACACGGTGCTTCGTCTTAAGTACATAGAAAATCTCCATGAGAATTCGAGAAAACAAAGAAAATGGATGATGACCGAAACCCTAACTCATAAAACTTACCTTCAAATATCCCAAACACGATTTCAACATTTAATCTATCTCTCAAACGGCTTTAGAAGAAGTTTAATCGGTGAAATAAGGTTGATAATAAAGAGAATCAAAGGGAGATGAAGAGGAAAGAGTGGGAATGTGTTTCCTAAACCATAAATCCTTCAAATACCCAAAGAGACGGGACACTTTTGCTGCAGCAAGATCTCCTCTTGCTACAGCAAAAATTTCAGACGAATTTGCAATCTAGTTTCTACAGAATCTCACTACAGTGAGACTATACCTAGAAAATACTTTCTCTCTGTTACCCTCTTGCATCAGTGAAAACGTAACAGAATCACACCTTTCACTCAGGACCTTCTCGTTACAGAAAGAATATCTCTGCAGTACACATTTAATCTACATTTTCAATCCAAATACAAGTCCACATTCATCTTTCAATCATAATATACAAATATGTAGCATCCACATGTATTTACACACATATAAACATATATATATCACCACACAAGTTAAATACACATTCAAACATCAATTTATATATTTATATAAATAATTAAATAGTTTACAAAACTACATATCCCAAAATATATCCAATAATTCTTCTCTCTACCTAATTTTTCACTTTCTTATATGTTAATTAGTTTTTTATTATTCAAATTGAAAGTCAAAAATTATTTTTTTTTCACTAAAGTAGTAACAAGTAGCTTTCTTTTTCTTGCCTTATTTCATTCTCTTCCTTTTTACTTATCACTCGTTATAATATATATTACATTTTAATACTATTTTTTATTAACTCAAATAATAGAACTCCATTGATTTATACTTTGATATGATACATCATGAAGACATCTAGATAAATAACTTAATTAAATATTTATTTAATATATTATTTTTAAATTTTTTATAAATTTGTCAAATATACCTTTAATTATTATTTAATATTATTTGGTATGTATGATCTTTTATTCAATTTCTAGTGACATTTTTTTGTTTGCTTCCATGATTCTCAATTTAAAATTGTTTTTAAAATTCTTTGTACATCCATCATGCTGAATTGTTCCAAACAATATAGGAAATTAGATGAGGTCATAAGTTTTGCTTTCAGTATTACTTAATATGTTTACATTGTATTAAGTTTGAGCACCATATATACTCAATTCAATAATTTACTTCTTTTGCTTATAAAATTATACATTGATTTTCTATTAAATTTTCATTTTACAAGACCTTGAGCCAAATTTCTGATATGCCCCAACACTTCCGGTTGAGTATGATGTTAAAGGTTAAAGATATATTAAGACTTCTAAGTAATTTTAAAATAACATAGCATGCATTAATCAATAATATTTTTTTTATTAAAATCACAATTTTACTATTAGCAATAAATATTATAGAAATAGAATTATATATTATAAATAAAAATTTATTATCCATAAACTTATAACATATAATATATATATATATATATATATATTCTTAGACAAATTAGAAAAATTAATTAAAATAATAATAAAAATACAAAACACAATTTATTTAAAATTACATTAAATATTATAATAAAACATATTAATACAGACTTAATAACATTTAAAAATATTGGTTATCATTTGCAAAAATAGATAAAAACAAAACGAAAAAAGATGTAATCAAAATATGAAAAATTGCTCTTAACCTACCCAGGTTTAATCAGGACACAGATTTAATCTTACTCCAGCGTACAGCCTCCGATCATTTTTAGTAACAACGCCTCATTAAAATCCCACGTCAAACAGGATCGATATAAAAAATCGCTCTTTAATAATAATAACATATGTTTGGCTCTTCTAAAAAACTAAACAAAACGAATGCAATGCGAGTCGTTGAATAATGATAAAATATTTGTAAAAACAATATTCAAAAACCACAATATGAAATAACAAGGAACCATCAGAAACCAGAATTTTATCCCCAAAGGCTATAAAAGCTGTACGGTCCGCATCATGGCTAGGGTTACAAAACCCCCATCACTTGGTTCCCCCTTTCAATTTGAGTTAGAGACACAATGGATCACACAAATAGAACTTGCAATCCAAATAATTAAAAACAAACAAACGAAAAGATGTTAAAAATAGCTTTACTAGTTGTGGTTAAAGGAATAGAGCTCAGATTGAATGGGTATGAGAAATTTATCAGCACTGAATCATCAGAGTGGTGCATGACTTTCTCTGTAACTCATCACAGCCCATGAAATTCAGAGTTCTAAGCAAAGACGCCAAAGAATCACTAAATCAAAAACAAGAAAGAAATTGAGAGAATTGCAAAAACTACATAGATGATTGAGAAGGCAGAGCGGTGGGATCGCTTATATAAGGGAATGCACTGAACCCTAATTTTTTGAAAGCCCGTTCTCTATCGGACATATTTACCCCTATCTATGTTGTCTTATTAACAGCCCAACCTCCATGAAAAGGCCCAGTCCATTCGTCCTCGTTTCAAGGCCCAGTTTCCCTTTAAACTTTATCAATCTTCTTAGAACGAGACCTTTCAAAATTTTGGCAAATAAAATTTGGAAAATTACTTTCTAACTTTTATAATTAATGTAAAATCTAAGGTACCCTTGAGAAGCTTTATTACTTTCTCTTACATATAAAACAACAATAGTAATAATTAATTTTATATCAATAGATAAATAGTTAAAAAAAATTAATATTTTTTAATTTTTAAGACTAAATAAATAACTAATAGTTGATTTAGAAAAAATGTCAAATATCCTTTCAAGTTATAGGTACTATAGCAAGTATTTTTATAATTAAAAAATTTGATACTCTATCTCATGTAGAATAATCATTATCATTAATTTTATATTAATAAATAATAAAGTTAATGATTTATTTGAAATAGATATTAATATCTTCTAATTTTTAAGTCATTAGAAGAATTATAATTATTAATCTAAAAATAGTATAGACCTCTCAAATTTACGAGTACCGTAGTAAGTATTGTAATTTTTTTAAAACAAAAAGTTTTTTCAAATTATCTCAATAATTATAAAAAAGATAAATAGTCTCAGTAATTTGTGAAAAATAATTTCAGGTCAAGAAAATACATATACATCCATATGCTACGTCCAAATTAAAGTACACATAAAATATAAAAATAAAATAAATTACATGAAAATAGAAAAGGTTAAATCATATAATATTTTATACGTATCAAACAACGGTTAAATAATACAATATTATTTCATAATTATGTATATTAAATTTTAAATATATTAAATATTTATTAGTATATTTTTATGAAAAATATTTATTTATATTTTGAAAAGTATATAACATATAAAAATAAAGTTATTAGATAAAATATCAAATAATTTTTAAAATTTTGTTTGGTTGATATATTTGTTAAGAATTTCTAAATTAATAGTTAAATTAATGAAATTTAATATCTATAAAAATTTATTAAGTAAAGTAAGATAACTATATGTGTATGATATTAAATTATATCAGTGTTAATTATATTAATTTTGACATTTTTAATTTTATATAAAAATATATTATTTGTTGATCGAATAGTTCAATTATGATTATATATTATTTAAATTATTTGTATTATAATTTTTTAAAATAAAATAATTATGAGAATGTAATCAATTATTTTTATATAATTTCAAAGTATATATTAAGTTAATTTTTTATATTCTTTTATTGTGTTATTTTATATATATATATATATATAAGGAGACTCGAGTGGTGGATAATGTACGCTTTGAGATGGGCCAACAGGTATAGAAAATTTCTTGAAGAAGACAATTGTTTGCATGGGAGGAAGATTTACAACAGCAATTGTAGGTGACTATGAAAAGTAAAAGGTCGAGAGAAAATATGAATGATATTTTAACATGGAAGTGTGATCGTAATAAAGATTACAATGTTCAATCTGCTTATCACTACATGCATAATTACTTCATTGCAGGCAATAGTTTGGAGTTGTGTCTAATGCAGGCATTACGTAAATTTTGGAAGATCAGTACACCCAGGAAAGTAGTGATATTTGTGTGGCATCTTGCGTAATGCAATATCAATATGGAAGAATTTAACTAAACGCGGATTGACGATTTCTTCATAAGCTTGTAGGCTTTGTGATACCAAAGATGAGAAGGTACTACACCTTTTTTTGCATTAGTATTCAAATGATTTAGTGTTAGTATATACTTACTTGAAAATTTGCATGAGACATTACGAAATATGTGTGGAATTTGATGTATTAAATGTTAATGAAATGTTTGATTTTATTAAATATCATTCTTAGAAGTGACTCGCAGTAGGACCTTTGGAAAGTTCAATTGTGTATGTGAATTGAATTAATGATCCCTTGTACTCATATTTTATCTTTGATAAAATGTTGATGCTTAGCAAAAAAAAAAAAAAAAGGAGGGATCTTCTCATGCCCGTGTAAGTTTAAAAACTCTTACAGTCAATCTGATCCTTTCATTTAATAAGTTATAATTTATTACTTCACTGACCTTTAGATATAAATTAAATGAAAGGTTCAGATCAAGTATAAGAATTTTTAAACTTATACTAATATAAGAAGATCATTTCCCATGTATATATATATATATATATATATATATATATATATATATATATATAACTGAAATATAAAGATTTTGAATTAATCTAAAATTTTATACACATAATTTATATGATAAAAACTTTTAATCTTATAATCAATTTTAAAATAAAATTATCTAATGAAAAATATTATATGGTGTAAAAATTAATGTAATTTATATTAGCATAATTTGATTTCTCTTTTATATAATTCAATTCAAATTATAGTATAAGAGTAATTAATTTTTCACTTAAAACAATTCTAATTTTTATAAAATTTTCAATTAATATATATATATATATATAATTCACAAAAATAACAAAAAAAATTTATTCACAAAATTTATTGTTTTGAGGCAACTCAAGAGTCAAGAAAGACTAAATTTCACTGTCAATCATCTTAAGCCACTAATAATCCCATACCTAGTTAGACCAAAGACTTAGTCTAAGGCTGCTTATTATATACTTAAATGTTATTCATTGCCACTAATAATCCCATACTTAGTTAGACCAAAGACTTAGTCTACGGCTACTTATTATATACTTAAATGTTATTCATTATTTCACATTGGTTAATCTAACGTAAGAAAAATAGGTCTGTCTTAATTTAGTTTTAATCCACATGAGTTACTATAAAAAAAGTATATTATATTAAAAGTCTATAAGCTAAAAAACTCATAGAATTAAGTGATAAAAACTAATCTATAAATCAATTACCTTTTTAAAAATTTATTTTAACTCACTTTTTTCTATAGAATAATCATATATTATCTTATGAATAATTTATTAAAAATATTTATTTTATATAATATTTTGCATTATAAATTTGTGGACTAATAAAATTGCTTTAAAAAAGATAAAAAAAATTTAATTTCTATAATATTAAATATTTATAAAAATTGGTATTAAATAATATTAATAAAAATATAATTATTATTATTAAATTATTTTATATATTTTTTTAATTTTTGTCTATATTATTAATAATTATTAAATTATTGTAACAATTTTTATATAATTATATAAATAATTTTTAAAAAAATTATTTGAATATTAATTATAAAATTTTTCATATTATATAATTTTATTATTATTATTATTTTAATTTATTTTTATAAATATTGAAAATATTATAAATTTTAATTTTTTTAAATATTGAATTTCAAATGTATATTAACAATTATATATATTTTAAGTTTTTGTACAAATTTTTCAGTAAATAATCTATCTATATATATCTATGTAAAATTTATTAAAAATAATAATTTAAATTTTTACATATTTATATTTTAAAAAAATTATACCATGTATAAACTTAAATTATAATAAATTCGTAATTATTAAAAATTATTAAAAAATTTTAAAAAAATACTAGCATTGATTAAATTTATTAAAATAATTAAAGTTAACAGTTGCCTATTTACTTTTATTTAAATTAATTAATGTTATTTTAATAGCTTATTTTACAAAATATTATTTAATTATTTAATTATTGTATAGTTAAAAATACTAATTCTTAATTAAAATCATAAATTATTAACATACCAGATTAAATTTAGCTAAAAACTTAAACAAATCTTCTATTTCACCTTGATACATTTATTAACAACTCTCTCATTTATTTGTTCTATTTTCTGCTCTATTTAATAACTAACTCCTTTTAACAATTGTTTGCTTCATTCATTTTTCTTTTCTGTTTCGCTTCTTAAAGACACAGAATCAGGCCATTCAGTCAGTCAGTGAGTCTCGATATACTTTTGTTACCTGACGTTAGGTATCTACATATATATTTCAGCAAAGTCACCAAAATATATCGACGTAGTTAAAAATTTCACGTCGAAATAAACCTCAAATCGTGCAAGACTATATACATTGAAATGTTGGTTTAAACACTATCTTCTACTTCTGGTAGCTTTGGATTGGAGATGCTGTCGCTTTCCACTGGGCAAGCCACTGTCACTGACACTTCCTTCAACCACAGCATCATGAACGTCAGAAAATTCTGGTTTGCACGACCGCAACGGAATAAGATAACTATCATCGTTGGTGCTTCTTGTCCGCTGCTCATGGCGTTTCACATTTTCTGATATCTGATGGAAGGTCTTGTTTATCTTTGCAATACCCCTTTCAACAGGTTCTACCACATGTGAAACCGTAAATTTCATGTCATCAACAATCTGAAACATAAAGGCACCAGAAAACAGACACATTGAGTTTTACAGAGATATGAGAAGTTTTAAAGATGCAACTGGTTTAAGTGTTCATATCTCACAATTTCACCACTTCCAACAACCACATCCCGAACACTCTGGGTAAATTTCATTGGCTTTTCTCTCTCGTTATGTCCTCCTAGCGAAGTTCTAGTTGAGCGCTCACAGTCACGAACCTCCTCAGGATCAGGAGGTGATCCTAATGATGCGTAGTTGGCCATCACTGCTACATTACGGACACATCTCTCTCCCCTTTTGTAAGGTTCTGCTGGGAAGACGTAAAGGTGTACAACGGCAGCCACACCCATCTGTTAACAAATTTTAAAATGGGAATCCACATGAAAAAGTTTTCCCAGAACGTCAAGGTGATGCTTGTTTCAAGTAAATTACATTGAGTTATAGTTTAAACATAAGACAAGATACCTAAAAGAAAGAAGCCTGATCAACATACAACTTCACATGCAACAGCTGATCACTGTAACTAAAATGATCCTGTCTCAATTCTAAAGTAGGAATGTAAAGTAAATCTATAAACACGTGCATCCATTATGGCTTAATCACCCAACTTGAATCAACGCTCACATGAGTATTTTACCAGCTTCCAGAAAAGATAGCTTGTAGAAGTAATGCAAAATTTGATAAAAAATGAAAGCTGATTATAGGTAACAACCATAAATGAAATTTTTGTGGGTATATATATGTTCTTTATTCAGATGTAAACAATTTATAGTTCATTCATCTATTTGAATTATTCCCCTTAGTTATCAATTTTGGATAATGTTTCACAGCAGGATAATGAGATGGCCACTGTACAAAAGATTAAGACATAAATATTTATTATACAAGTCATATAATTTACACCACACACATATAAATGCTCAAAAATTAAAATTAAAAAATGACATATTCACAATAAATAATAAGTCATAATTTAAAACACAACCATAATAAAAAGGAAGATGACAGAATTTACTAATAATAATGAATAAAAAAGAAGAAAGTCAACAAAGAGGTTGGGTGTAAAGAACACAACACAAATGAAAAATGAAAGAGAGGGCCAGTGAGTGTGAAAAACACAACACAAACAAAATTGAACAGAGACCTGCATAAACAGAGACTAATGACACTGTCAAAACAGAGAGGGCATGCACAGAGACCCTCGCTTGGACAGAAATGATTCCAGCAAGCAGTGGATCATGGATTGGTTGACTTGGTTCAAAAAAAGACCTAGGCCTATCAAATGTGTTTTTTTGCGTGAATCATCAAGAAAGAAAGGGTTTTAAAACCCTATAATGCTTCTGAATTCTGATGCCAAAAATGGAGGGGAAATCACCAATAAGTTAAAAAAAATCAAAACAGGGACAAAGATGGATTTTAATCCAATTTTCAGTATAGCACCATGATTTGCCATGTATCAGGTGTAACAGATGCGCTGTAGAAGCCTCATATCACACTTTAAGCATAAAAACATGAGTAAATAATGACAATAATATGTTTGCAAGCATTACATATGATAAACCCAACATATCCATAAAAGAAGAAAAATACCCAGAACACCAAATGTCCATGTTTGTGACAATGGCCTGTGGCTCTCATGCATAAATCATAAATGATAATGAACAAAGTTTAAACTTGTTCAAAACATATACTGCAAATGGTAGAACATATGAGTACACCTACAAGTCTAAATATTAATAATGCACTATTAGACAAAAGAATCAAAATACAAGCAGCACAAGTAGCTTACCTCTATACAAATGATGTAGTCTTGTATCCGTATTTTCAACTCCTGAGCCAATGATCCCCTAAAAGCTCCCACATAAAAAAGAAATGCAATAGCCACACTTTGCCACCATGTCAGGAAGACAATTGACTTAAAAGTTAGAAACTTTGCCAGTGGTTTGATTGGTTTCAACTTATCTTTAATGACAGAATAGAACTGTACAAGGCAATATAGGGCCCATGTCTGACTAAAATTAAGAATAAGTGCCAAGTAGGGATACCTGCAAGCACAACAGAGAATCAGAATACAATAGGGCATAAAAAATACCACCACCACCTTACAAAAAAGTGTAGAGGTATAATCATAAACATTCATCTATATATATACATATTTATGCATGATTCTCATAACTGTAACAATACCCACGTAAACAAGATTAAGAAACAAGCCAGTATATAATCTTACCCATATTTCCACTCAAACTTTCCTTCTCCATAAACCCCAAAAGATTGGAGGACCATTGCCAGTAATGCACATATCATCTTCAGTATCATCTGAAATGTAGATTTTACTAAGCAATGAGAAGACCCTGATTCTTCTTTGCCAACAAACCACTAGTGAGAGGAGATGGGGGGTGGGCTGTATAGTTACTTAATATACCAAAATCATACATACATATTGTACAATGCCAATTTTCACAGATTGATAGAAATCGGGGCCTAGATACCAATCCCTTAAGAGAAGATTTAAGGGAAATGGATGCTCTACAACTCCATATGCATATGCTTCTTTCAGAAGAGGAATGCTAGAGTCTGTAAGGCTCATCCTTTCCATAAATTGAATCGTTTTATCCTCACCACCTATAAGCAAGCACATAGAATGTTGAATTAAAGAGCATGACAGCAAACTAACTTCAACCGACAAATAAATTTGAGATGTATCACATTCTCATTTAGTCAGAAGTTATAAATTCTGGCCTGTCACCCAGATTTCTAAATTTTGATGAAACTTGAAAGACGAGAGAAGGAGGAGGAAAATTTGATTAAGATCTCACCATTTAGCAATTGAGGAAAATATATACCCATTAACAATAGCTAAAATTAAAGAAAACATATGGGCATACAACCCATTTGACATACCTAAGCAAGCTATCAAGTATCTCTCAAAGCAGTATAATGCAAAAGCCTCATAGCATTCCCGTATAACTTCACTGTTAAATGCTGCACCAGAATCCAATAGTGACAAAAACTGCATCATATAAACATCGGAACTTAAGAATGCATTATACATTCTATTAAGAGAAAAAGAAATATAAAAGGATAAGATGATTAAGAAATAGATTATGTACAGAAAGCAGAAACACTAATACTATGTTGCAACTCAGTACTGATGGTCCTTGTGACAAAATAAAGCCAAGTTTATCTGAATTTTTTTATCATCAGTTGAAGGAGAACAAAGTCTGAGGTATATTATGAACAAAAAGGAAGCAATTGTTCATTTAAGTATCAATCAATTAGATTTATAGACCACTCTTCAATGACAAAACTTTCTCAAAATAACTGATTCTGCCAACATAAAGCAATCTACATAGGGAGGTACAGTGGAAGTGAGTTGAATTTCTCAGAGATAGGGAACATTGTTCAATTCTTGAGTAAACTTTTTTGGGGAAAGGGCCATACAGTTTTGCTCCATCCCCAATGGGGTGTGGTATCCTGGAGCAGGCTGTGCTCACCCATGGCATGGGTCCATGATCACCCAAAACTCCCTTTAATCTAAATACCCCCCCCCCCCCCCCCCCCCCCGCAAAATAAATAAAATGATGCAAGTAGACAAATTAAAAATGCAGCAGTTTAGTTAAACAGTCAAACAAACACATGCATAAACTCTAAATAGTTCTATATGTAAACAGCAAAGGCAGTTGATATTGAAGCTGAAAAACTAAACCACATGCACTAGAAGGCAAGTTCTAACATACTATACCATGCCCTAGCAACTAACTGACTAAATTTAGCATTAGCCAATATTGAACATTGAAAATAGAATGCAAGATAAATATTATTTTGATTGCAACATTGCACACAACAAAAGGAACAAGAGCATTCATTCATTAAGACAGATGTTGTAAATCCAAGTGAAAAGGTAATATAAATAGAACACATGGAACATTTAGTTATTTTTTCTTACTGATTCCAATGCATAAACAGGAACCATTAAAATGAGACCTATCAAAAACTTCTGTTCCTGTACAAATATAATTAAAAAAGAATTAGCCATAAACAATATTATGAGTGAAAAGGAAAACAAAACACTGAGGTGAAATAGCCAAGTCAGTTAAAGCAGAAAATAGGATGTACCTCAGGCTGATTATAGGCAGCTAAATGCTCGAATATTAAGTACACGGAAAGAACAAGTGCAACAAGCACAAATATACATGAACTGAAGACTGTCCAACTCACAGTTCCTGTACACACCAAACCTGGGTTTTGGAGCCACATATTCCCAGCTCTGCCAGCAGACACAACTGAGGAAAAAATAAATAAGGGACACAGAATACCCACCAAACCCATTCAATAGAAACTTGTGATTGGTTGTGCCATTCATCGCACATCTATGACTGACTATACATATATATATATATATATATATATGTATATATATATATATGTGAAGTATCGATACTCCCTATAAATCTTTTATTTCATCTGAGTTTCCCTCTTTCTGTCTTCTCATATCAGCAAACACAGAACTAACATACTGCATCAACAATGGACAACAGTGCTTACTTTAGAGTCAAAAGGAAAATCCAAAATGAGATAGCACAATAGTCCTGTATCAACAGTCAGCTTGATTAATGATTAACGAAAAGTAGAATATTAAAAATAAAAAAGGGCATGGACAATGAGTTTGAACTTTTGAAAACCTCTATACTCAGCTTCAAACCAAGTGCAAGTAGTTCAATTGGTAAACGTATCCAGTTACAATATATAACAGAGGTAAACTATCAGAAACATTAAAGTTTCAATTTTAACAACGTTAGGTTCAAATGTAAGCATTTGTCACCAACGAGCTATGTTAAATGGAAAGGAAAAAAATCGAAAAGCCAAAACCCTAGGCTTCGGAAAAGAAATAACCCGAAACTAATTCGGTACAATAGAAACGGAAGAAAGAAAATGATGAACCATCGAACCTTTTCTATTCAATCTTAATTCTTTTCTTTTTCTTTTCCCTGAAATTTGAGACGGGTACTTTTTACCAAAACTGAAAGCAGCTTTGCGGTGAAGTTGTTGGTAAGCAAAAATCAGGCTTTTTATTCTGCTAAGCAAATCCCAATATTTATTATTAATTAAAAATTATAAAAGTATGAGAAAAAATGTTAATTTAAAAATAAAAGAGTTAAACTAGTTTAATTTTTATATAAATAAATAGTTTGGAAAACCTAAAAGTAAAATGTGTCACATGTCCAAGTGGGAGCTTTTTTACATAAATAAAATAACAAAAATTATTATTTTTTAAATATCTTGAAAAGAAAAAAATTACATAAATGTCTTAAAAGTACATATAACAGAAGTCGATTTAAATCGACTTTCGTTTTAAAAAATTTTATAAATCGACTTCTATTATAGATATAATTTTTTTACATAGAAATCGATTTAAATTAATTTTTTTTACACAAAAGTCGATTTAAATTGACTTCTATTATAGGTTTAATTATTTTTACATAGAAGTCGATTTAAATTGATTTCTATTTTGCTTTTGAAATTTTTTTACACAGAAGTCGATTTAAATTGACTTCTATTTTATTTTTAAATTTTTTATATAAAAATTAATTTAATTCAACTTTCATTTTGGTTTCAAATTTTGTTTACACATGAGTCAATTTAAATTAACTTTCACTTACACGTGAATATGTTTTAGAAAGAAGTCGATTATAATTAATTTTGTAATACATAATTAAAGTTGATTAAAAAGAAATCTATTATAAATAAATAAAATTTGTCATTTAAAGATGAGAAAATTTTGAAATTAAGTGTGAAAATTAGAATGAGATGATAACATTCATTAGCAATCGCTTTGCACCTTTATTCTTAAACCTTACAACAAATTTTAATACAATGACACAATGTGCTCCACATAATATGCATGATATGTTGAAGGGATGTCACTCATTCCTTGTAGCTTCTAGAGCTAATTTGATTGCATGATAGGGATCGGGCTGGAGCTCGACAAGAGCAAGACAGGAAACCATACAGTTGACGCCTAGCAAGAATAAGGAAAAATATAGTGAAAGCTCAAGGGATTCATCATGAAGGCAAGTACTCCAGCAAAAGCTATCAATTAAAAGGGAAGACCGGGTAGTGGTAGTTAACCAAAAGAGGGAGCAGCTCATCCATCAGAATAAGGAAAAAGATAGTAAAAGCTCAAGGGATTCATCACAAAGGCAAGTGCTCCAGCGGAAGCTATCAATTAAAAGGGAAGACCGGGTAGTGGTAGTTAACTGGGTAATGGTAGTTAACTGAGCAGCAACTCATCCGTCAGATGAGATCCCTCTATTTCATGTTTTTGGCTTATCTTTTTCTTGCGTTGACACTGCCAAAGGGACTTTGTCTCCACCTCAACCTTCTCCGCTCCCAGCTAGGTATCTCTAAGGACTTGAGCTAAGGAATTGTTTACTGAACGTCCCATATAGTTATCATGCAATCAAATTAGCTCTAAAAGTTACAAGGAATAAGTGACATCCTTTCAGTATATCATGCATATCGTGTGCAACATTTTATTTCATTGTATTAAAATTTGTTGTATGCTTTAAGAATAAAAGTGCAAAGCGATTGCTAATGAATGTTATCATCTCACTCTAATTTTCATACTTAATTTCAAAATTTTCTCATCTTTAAATGGCAAATTTTATTTATTTATAATAGATTTCTTTTTAATCAACTTTAATTATGTATTACAAAGTTAATTATAATCGACTTTTTTCTAAAATATATTCATGTGTAAGTGAAAGTTAATTTAAATTGATTCATGTGTAAACAAAATTTGAAACCAAAATGAAAGTTGAATTAAATTAATTTTTATATAAAAAATTTAAAAATAAAATAGAAGTCAATTTAAATCGACTTCTGTGTAAAAAAAATTTTAAAAGCAAAATAGAAATCGATTTAAGTTGACTTCTATGTAAAAATAATTAAACCTATAATAGAAGTCGATTTAAATCGACTTCTATTATATGTACCTTTAAGACATTTACGTAATTTTTTTCTTTTCAAGATATTTAAGGAATAATAATTTTTTTTATTTATGTAAAAAAAACCCCAAGTGGGACAAACTTTAGCGGTGAATGATGCAAATTGGAAAGGCGTGGGCGCCATGTATTTTAGTGTGCAGAGTGTAACACTATATTTCTTCTTTATCCAATCTATTGTAATTAATAAAAAGTTATAAAAAATAATTAATTTTTATTAGAATATTTAATGGAATTATGATAGAGAACTATTTTCACTAATGAACTCATACATTAAATTGATCAAAATGCGAAATTATGAAAGCCAAACTATAAATAATTAATTTTATAATTGAAATTTTTATACAAAGATACTCAAAATAGACTCTTTTGTCAACAAACTGATTCATAGAACGAATTTGAGAAGTAAATTGTATAAAATAAATTATAATTCAATGATTAAATATTTCAAGTTTGAATTGTAAATATAAAATATAAATTATTACATTTACAGATTGTTATTCAAAATATACTAAGTCCTACAACAGTTCATGTCCACTCCCATACTCTGAGGGTCTAAAATACTAATCATCTATGTCATGCTAATCCTCCATTTCTTTCAAATCTCCAGCCGTTAACTCATTATCCTCTCTTAAATAGGTGTTATCAGAATTTGCAACAATCTTAATAATAGAAAATCTTTCAAATGTATATTGAGTAGGTTTTCCCAACAAGTCATGATCATGATAAGTAAAAACATTATTCATGATCCTGAAAGACCTTTCTGTTCCCCGATATATGTAAATATTGAAAGTTTGATAAATATGACTATCCACAGGGAATTCAAAAGGAAGTGTATAGCTATACAATATTTCTAATGTCCCATCTTGACCATCTTCAAAATACAAATTAAAATTTAAATGTACAATACGTTGGTATTGTCTAAAGACATAATCTAATCTTCACTTTTGAGTGTGTTTATGCCCAAGTCCCTTCATTCTGGGCGTCTCTAGAGTGATTACTCTCACTTTTGAGAGTGTTTACACGCAAGTCTTTTCATTTTGGGCATCTCTGGAGTGATCACTCTCACTTCTGAGAGTGATTACGCGCAGGCACTCTGAGTTTGGAGCTTTCTAGAGTGATCACTGCTGCTTCTGAAAATGTTTACTCTAGCCTATCCCTTGGAATCAGCTCCCTGGAGTGATCACTATGGTTCCTGAGAGTGATTACTCTCAATTCATATTTTCCCCAGAACCAAAAATCCATAAAATTTGTCTAGAATTTCCTACACAATTATTTAAATGATCAAAAATTGCGAAATATATTCACAAAAATTAGTGGAAATAAGACAAAAATTAAAAGAGCTATAATATTTGGCCTAAATGAGGTTTTTATGTTATTTACAATCTCTAAGTCTATTTTTCATATTAAAATTCTATAAAAAACTAGACAAAATATCTATAAATTATGGATTCATCATCCTCATGCAAGACGGAAGAGTAGTTGCTTATATTTTGAGGCAATTGGGTCCTTATGAAGTTAACTACCCAACTCATGATTTAGAGTTAGTCGTGGTGGTCTTTGTTCTTAAGGTATGGAGGCACTATCTATATGGCACAAGATTTGAGGTGTTCAGTGATCACAAGAGCTTGAAGTACTTATTCGATCGGAGAGAGTTGAACATACGACAGAGAAGATGGATGGAATTCCTCAAAGACTATGATTTCACGTTGTCTTATCATCTTGGCAAAGCGAATGTAGTGGCTGATGCATTGAGCAGAAAATCATTGCATGCAGTAGCTATAATGGTGAAGAAGATGGAGCTAATTGAGGAGTTTTGAGATATGAATCTAGGTATAGAGAAAAGGCCTAGGAGTTTGTACCTTGGGACCGTGACAATCCATAATGATTTCCTGGTGCAAGTTGATGAGCAAAAATTATTTTTTTGTTTGCAAAAAGATTTGTTGTCAACCTTCATTAAAATATGCAGAAAAATTTATGTAGTCTAGGGTAGAGCTGTCAAAAAGCCCAATTGGCCCAGCTCTAGCCCTGGCCCAAGTGGGTTAGGGCTAAAAAGCCCTATGGGCCAAAAAGCCCTATAAATCAAAAGCCCTATTGGCTAAAAAGCCCAATGGGCCAGGGTTAGGGCCAGGGCTTCAAGGGCCAAATTTTTTTAATAATTGCAAGTTTCCAACTCAAATTTAATTTCATAATTAACTATTACACAAATAGACGAAACATAACCAAATTAAACACCACCTAAGAAAGTACAATAATTTGCAGTTCCAAGATACTGAAAATAAATCATTACAAAAAATTAAGATATCAACAATTTTGCCAAATTAAAGAGTGCCAAGGTCCAGTGTAAATAAAAAATGGATGCATTTCAAAATATACACAATACGTCGGATATTGATATCATACAATTGATCGAATATCACAAAGTTAATTTCACCGTTCAAGTTGCAGTCAGACCAACAAAAAAGATAATCAGAATATACTTTTACCACTACAAGGACAAGAGTTGACAGCTTCGTGTTTACCTACCAGCCTTGAGTACCTATAAGAAAGGCAATCACAGTTAAACAAAATATAATTGATACATGAATTTTAGTTGCATAGCCATCGTGATTTTAGTTCCAAAACAATTTTAAGATCCCATGTTCAAATCAAGAAATTGTAAAAGATAATCCAGTTATACTTAATAGATTTATACTTCACCTGCTTGTTAATCTTCAATATCTTATTGCATACTAGACTCTAGAGTTTTTGTCTCATCATTATCTAAAACTCAAAAACAATAAGAATAGAATTATGTTTGTACAAATTATATAATAATCATAAAAGGTGATTAAAATAAATATTACCACTTGGACTTTCAACAAAGCCATGCAACCAATTCCTAGCACAAATTAACATTTGCACATTTTCTGGAAGTGTAGAACTTCTATATTTAGTGAGAACACGTCCACCAATGCTAAAAGCAGATTCTGATGCTACTGTAGTGATTGGAATGCTAAGCACATCTCTTGCAAATATAGAGAGTGTTGGAAATCTCTTTTCATTACTTTTCCAATAATAAAGCACATTAAATTCTTCAGTATCATCATAATCAACTTGTGACTCATCCAAATACAAATCCAATTTACTCTTACCAATGGTAGACTTAGTTTCATTTTGAAACATTTTAAACTCCTGAAAAATATAACATAATAACCCTTTAAACAGAATAAAAATAAGAAACACACCATATTTAAAATGACATAAAAGAACATACATTGAACAATCTTGATTTCTTTGACCTATTTCCATCTCCATGTGACTTTGACAACAAATTGGATTCATTGGAAGGTTGAGAACCACTTGTAGCATTAAAATTGTTTGCATATTCTCCATAAAGCTTATCAAACTTATCCTTCACATTGTTGACCTTCTCATGAGAGGTTAAAGGATTAAGCTTGGTATAGCAAAATCTTAAAAAATCAAGCTTTAAACGAGGGTCAAGAATAGCTCCAAAAGCTAGCAACACACAATAATTCTTCCAATATTTTTCAAATTTTCCTTTCATTCTTGTAGCCATATCCTTTATAACATCATCTTCGTTCAATAAATATTCATTCAACAAACATTCAATCTTCCAAACTTGCATAAAATATAAGTTTGAAGTCGGATAACAAGAACCAGAAACCATATTTGTAGTCTCATAAAACGGCTTTAAAAATTCACATAATTTCTCTCCTTTCCTCCATTCCTCATATGATAGACAATATTTATAATTTCTATCAACCACCTGAAGAGTATCAAAAGCTTTTTCATACTTGATTGCACTTTCACGAATTAAGTATGTTGAATTCCACCTAGTAGAAACATCTAATCTTAACCCAATTGTTGTGTCTATTCCAGCATCTTGCACACAATCTTGAAATTTAATCATCCTTCCATCAGATCCTCTCACATACTTAACACTCTCTCTAATTTTAAAGAGTGTTTCATTAGTTACTTTTAGACCCTCTTGTATAATCAAATTGAGTATATGAGCAGAAGAACGCACATGAAAAAATTCTCCATCGCACAACAAACTATTCTGCACACGAAGATGATTTTTCAAAATATCTTGCATATTGTCATTGGCAGAAGCATTATCTAAGGTAATAGAGAAAACTTTTTTATCAATTCCCCATTGCTTCAAGTAATCAAATAAAGTGGCTTCTAATTCAACTCCAGTGTGAGGTGGTTTCATTCGATAAAAATTAAGAATCTTACTTACTAATCTCCAGTTCTCATCAACAAAATGAACAGTTAAGCAAATATAACCTTCACTCGTAGCTGCTGTCCAAACATCAGAGGTAAGACATACTCTATTAGGACATATGACTTCTTTGAGTTTTTCCTTCTCTCTCATGTAAATTTTTTGAACATCTGACACAACAGTGTTCCTAGAGGGCATTACAACATTAGGATTCACATAATTGATCCATTCTCTGATCATATCATACTCTGCAAAGTTGAAAGGAAGATCATGTTTGATTATGGCTTGCGCAAGAATATTACGTTGAGTCTTTTGGTTAATCTTTCTCGCACCAAAACTTACGTCTTGAGTAGGAATTGCATCTACACTTGAACTTTGAATATTTTTACAAATTGAAACATGTCGACTTAAATGTGAAGTTCCATAATGATTTTTTGTCTTGGGATTTTTTCCAATAGCATAATCATGGCCACAATATTTGCACACAGCTCTTTCAACTCCATCCTTATCTACACCAGTTTTAGTAAAATATTTCCAAACATTTGAAAAGTGTTTCTTAGGTGTCTCGACACTTCCAGATAATACAGGAGGAGTTTCAGAAACAACTTCATCATCTATATTCACAGTCTTATTCATAGAATCCATAATATAATTTATTGTTCCTATGCATTAAAACAAACACAAAATAAAAATTAGAAACTATACTTTTACAATTTAAATTACAAATTATACTTTCACATAATCTCAACAAGAAAGAAATAATCAAGTATAAAAATAAGGATTGATGCATAATATACAAACAATTGCAAACCTGTAATAACAAAAGCTTAGACCAATTCTAGCAGAGTTTTGGTGAGGATCAGAGACATTGCTACCAATCTGGATTTTTTCCCTTTCAACTCAATTTTGTCTCTGTAATTATACAAATAAAGATATTTTTTTTATCAATAATGTAATTGAATTATTTGATAAAAAAATTAAGAGAGTACTTCATATATATATCTACAAATAAATAAATTTCGCGGGCCACAAACAATGGTTGGATTTGGATTAGTTTACATTATTAAACTGTATCAGTTTCTCACCATTTCCATTTGTTCACAAATATAATTAAAATAGAATCACATCACCAATTTTATACAAATTGATGCTTTTCAAAGTGATAGCGATTCCCACCTACGTGCCACTGCCTTGTAAGAACCACACCACACACCTCACCCTCTCCAAGTCAAATCTCTTACCCATTACCAATATTAAATATTTATAACCTTCTTCCCCACCATTTCCCATGTTACCACCACACACCGTCGCTTGAAAAAATTGTGTACGCATCGCTGTTCATCATTATAAAATATTATATCTGCCTTTTTATTTAACTATTTTCATTCTAAGTAGTTGAAAGCTGATGAATGATTGGACAATGTTTATTAGATATACTTCAACAACGACGTGGTGCGATCATCCTACAAATATTATATTAAATTATATTCCCCCCAAAGAATAAAAGATTATAAACGATGCCCTTTTAGCCAATTCAACGTTATATAAGTGCTTAGTGCTACTACGAATTAAAATAATGGTACCATGCAGGGCAAAACTATAAAGTACATACAAAATAAAATAGAAAAATACAAATCTTTGTAGCAAAAAAAATATACTAGTGTACAACATGCTAACAACTGTCACCAACGGAAATCCCAGCAGCTCTTGTTGCCATTTACACACATTCGAGTAATTATGAATATGGACAAATTATAGACAGAAGCCCAGGCATGCCTATCAATGGTAGTCTCCACAATCCACGTCAAATAAAACTTTTTAAAAAGAGAAAAATTACAAAATTTCCAAGAATTTAGGAGCTAAATTGAACAATTCTACTAAGAATTAGCGAGGAAAAAAAATGTCACCAAACCTTTCCCGCAAAATAAGAGGAAGGATGATTTTGAAATAGTCCCCATCAAATTCAAGCACAATAATAATGATAATAATAAGACGACAAATAACAATAACAAATACGATAATAAAGATAACTGATGAAATAGAGCATTACACGATTGGTTCTTCTCGAGGTCAAATTATTAATAGTGCCCACTTTCTTATTTTTAGAAACAAAATTCAAAAGATCATCAGAAGCTGCAATTCGACAAGACATAATAATAGATAAGCAATTACTCTCTCAAGTTACGAAATACCCATAAAAACACACACACAAAAAAAAAACACTAACAAACGCAACACCTGGAAAGAATGACGCATGCAAGACAAGCCGTGAACTATACTGAAATCAAGTTTTTCTTTGTTAAGAAATTTGCAGAAAGGTATAATAAGTAAAGAATGACTACAAAAAGCTGCAGCGCCTTGCACGGAGTCGCAAAGTAACTATTACCTTGATCTATGAATTGAGAAATATTGAATGACACCTCTTGCAAAGAGCTGCGAATCTGAGAAGTGTTGGAGGAGCCACTTACATCTGTGTGAAATCTGCGAATCTACGAAATCTGTGAATATGAGAATCTGTGAAAATCTATTGCATTAGCCACTTCAATCTCTGTGTGATTTAGAGAAAGGGGATTAGGGTTCTTGTAATTTAGAGAAAAAAGACAAAGTTCTTACGCAAAGACAAAGTGGATTAATCGTACTGTGTGAAGTATTGCAGGGTCAGGGCCAACCCATGGATAACCCAACCTTGGCCCATATATTTTAGATTATATAATTTGGGGCTTAACTATTATTTCTTCTTTAACACCGGGTTAGGGTTGGATGGGTTTTTTCAGGGCCGGGTAGGGTTGGATCCTAGGCTACAACCCTGATTGACAACTCTAGTCTAGGGTGCAAGCCTAGGTTGTGTCCAACGACTTTGGTTTGTAACATACATTGAACATGTTGTGAACATTTACTATAAAAGCAATTAAATCAAGGGGGTTTTGGTAATTCCAATTTTAATGTAAAGGCAAGTGATGAAATTAATGAATCCAATCAATGAAATGTGCAATCCTTAGTTTGTTCATGTAATTCTATCCTTATCCCTCTCAAGATTCAATATTTTTCCTCTTCTTCTGAATTAGAGTAACTCAAAAAGCAAGAATTAACCTTAACATCCCATACAAATTAAGCAATTTACATGGGCTCCAACTATATTTCCCAAGATTACGCAACCTTAGAAATTAACTTAGGATTAAGCAAACTAAGTTAAGAATTTCATTAAAATAAATTAGGGTTAATTAAGCAATGTCCCCCTCATTCAACATTAATTCAATTCAAAGAGTTGGGAGATATAAATTCATAAAGAAAAGGAAATTATATTGACATTCATACTTAGGAATTCAAGAATCCATGAACTCACTAAGAATTACAAGAAAGTTTAGCCCTCCACAAGGAAGGGTCTTACAAATTCAAGATGAAAACAAGGAAAATTCAACATCATCAATGCAAGAGTTAAAGGAAAATGAAGAGAAATTGTAAATCAAACCCTAAGATTGGCCTTGGCTATCACCCAAGGATCCTAAGCTCTGCAAAATGCTCCTAAAAATGACAAAAGAATCTAAAATTATGTAAAAAGCTCCGTACCCTAATTTCTCAAATCCTATTTATAGTGCAGAAATTTTCACCCAAAGTAACTACTATGGTTTCATAGTGATAACGCGCAGTGCTCCATAGTAGTTACTATTGCTCCAAAGTGGTTACGCGCAAGTCCTGTGACTTGGGCCTCTCTAGAGTTATCACTTTGGCATCATAGTGATAACGCGCAGTGTTCCATTGTAGTTACTCTCGCCTCATAGTAGCCACGCACAAGTCATGTGCTTTTGGCCTCTCTGGAGTTGTCACTTTGGTATTAGAGTGATAACTTTGGCTGCACCGGAGTGTCTACTATGGTTCCAAAGTAAGCACGCGCACCACTTATTCAAAATGGGTCTCTATAGTTGTTACTATGGGTTCATATTGATCACTTTCGTCTGCCCTTCTGGATTTAGCTTGTTGTAGTGTTCACTGTGGGATCCAAAGTGATCACTTTCATATCAGACTTTCTTAAATGCTAAAAAATCCATGGAAAAAGTCTAGAAATTCTTGCACAATTATTCAAATGATCAAAATTGCAAACTATATCTATGTAAATCAATGTAAATTAACCAAAAATTAAGAAACATATGATATTTGACCAAAATGATGTGTTTATGTTATTTACACTTCCTAAGTTTACTTTTTCTATTAAGAAACATCAAAATGACAAGTAAAAATCTAATAAAATGTGGATTCATCACAAGTCTGAGATGCTCAACAAGAGATGCATTCTTGCAAGATATGATGAGACAAAAAAGTGAGGGGAGGGACTTGGAGTTCCATTGTGATGAGAATGTGGTGATTAAATTCCAAGACTAGGTGTTTATTCTCCAAGTTAATGACTTGAGGTAAATGATACTTGAAGAGGCACATAAAAGCATAATGAGTTTCCATCCAGGTGCAACAAAGATGTATCAGAACCTCCGTAAGAACTTTTGGTGGAATGGAATGAAGAAGGATGTAGCAGAGTATGTATCCAAATGCCTAACTTGTTAAAAGGTGAAGGTAGAACACCAACGTCCACTTGGGTTGATGCAACCTCTTAAAATACCTAAGTGGAAATAGGATAGTATTTCCATGGACTTTGTTTCTGGGTTGCCAAGGACTAGGAGCAATCATGATGCGATTTGGGTGATAGTAGACTGATTGACCAAGGCTGCACATTTCCTTCCAATCAACATGAAGTACAGATTGGAGAAACTGGCAGATATGTATGTGAGGGAGGTAGTCAGGCTACATGGAGTGCTGACTAGTGTAGTATTTGACAGAGACCCGAGATTTACTTCAAGGTTTTGAAAGAGTTTGAAGAGGGTGCTAGGTACTAAGTTGAAGCTTAGTTCAGCTTATCACCCACAGACTAACAGATAAACTGAGAAGACCATTCAATCCTTGGAAGATCTGTTGAGGGCTTGTGTGATAGAATAGCAGGGAACTTGGGAAGAATGCTTACCTTTGGTAAAGTTCACGTACAACAAGCAGCTACCATGCTAGTATTAGCATGGCGCCATTTGAGGCTCTGTATGGGAGGAAGTATAGAACTCCCTCGTGTTGGAATGAGACTGGAGAGGCAATTCTATAAGCACTGGACATGGTTCAGAGGTAGAATGAACAAATCAAAATAATTAGAGAGAAGATGAAGGTTACATAGGATCGACAGAAAAGCTACTACGATAGGAGGAGAAAACCTTTGGAGTTTCAAGTGGTGACCATGTGTTTTTGAAGGTCTCACCTGTGACCGGAGTTGGGGCTCTGAAATCTAGAAAGTTATCCACTAAGTTCATTGGGTCGTTCGATGTGCTGAGTAGAATCAGCGCTGCAACTTATCAAATAGCATTACCCCCAAATCTTTTAAACGTACATCCAGTGTTTCATGTGTTACAACTCCGAAAATATCTGTTGGATCATTCTCACGTGATTGACCTCGACCTGATTCAAGTGAGAGAGGACTTATCACATGATGTGTACCCAGTGAAGATCGTGGATCACCGTGTTAAGCAGTTGAAGGGCAAGGAGATCTTGTTGGTGAAAGTGACATGGAATGCAAATGACGAAGGAGATGTTATGTGGGAGACTAAGAATAGGATGAAGGAATTGTATATGAAATTATTCATGTGATTTGTTGAATTTTGGGGACGAAATTCTCTAAAGAAAAGGAGAGTTGTAACGCCCTGAGTTTTGTAACCCTATTTTGATTATTAATATAAGTATGTATGTTGTATTTGGATGTGCATTTTGATTTATGCAAAAAATTAGTTTAGTTTTGTCTAATATTTTTGCTGTAGCAAGAAGATGTCTCGCTACAGCAAGAGATGACTCGTTGTATCAAGAGAGGTCTTGCTATAGTGAGAGTGTCATGACTCTTAGGGTATTTGAGGATTTTAGGATTAGGGAAAACACATTTCCCACTTTCCCTTCCATCTCTCTTTCAATTCTCTCGACCTCTAACCCTATTTCACCGATTGAAATACCTCTAAGGCTGTTTGTGCTCCAGATTGAAGGTTGTGGTCGTGTTTTGGATGTTTGGGGGTAAGTTCCATGAGTTAGGGTTTGCGTTTTTACTCTTTCTTCATTCTCCTTGATTTCTCATAGATTTCTTCATGTATTTAGGATAAAAATCCGTGTGGGGAACCCTTCTACTGTTGATTATGTTGTGGATCTTCATTCCAAGGTAAGGAGGGACTCTACCCTATTTCTTTGTTTTGTGATTGTTTGAATTGCTATGTATTGGAATGTAGTTGAGATAGAACGTAGGAAGATGCATATTTTGATGGGATGTAGTTAGTGGACGATGAAATGACTTGATTACAATAGGATTATGATGAATGTATGAGTGTGAATGATGAGGATATGATATTGTGCCTAAGCGATGTACATTGAGGTAAATAACAAAAATGGGAATTGTGTGTTTGCACATAATGTGGATAATATTGAGTATTTTATGTGATGAAAGTGGGTGAATGTGTGTAAATGGCATGTTGATTGTGATTGTGGTTGTATTTGAAATGGTTGAAAACTATGAATGATTACAACGATACATTGGAGGTATGGAAGATAGGGGCGATAACAATATCTTGGGGAAAAGAGGGTAATGGTGATACCAACAGTGAGCGTGGGTGCACCACAGGCCATACACTCTTCTCCTAATTCGGCCTCTGACCATTACCTTTGCTAAGGGGCCCGTGACTGTACACGTTGTAGTCGTGAGGCAAGGACTAATCGGCGACCATCTATGGTATGAAACTAAATAAGTTCCTAAGGTTGAGGGTATCAAGAAACTGTGATCACAGTGCCGCAATGAGCATACGTATGCGTGTGGAATTGAGTAAAAGTGTCGTGAGAGCACCTTTGTATGTTTCATGTGTGATGTTGTTGTGTGGGCTGATTGTGCAGTAAGCGCAACCGTTTGTGTGCTTGACTTGTAGTAGTGTGTTGTTAGAAAGAATTAGTTAATGCTTGCTTAATGTATGGCTTATTTATATGGAAAAATGTTTGAATATGCAAGGTGAGACTCCTTGTTGTGTATGTGATAGTATAGAGGACTCATCCTTACATTTTATTTTTCAAGTGACCAAGACGATCAACATGAAGCTCAGTGAATGAGATGTATGACATTGCTATAGGACTTAGAATTTATTTCGAGTTTTGTGATGTACTAAATAAGTCTTGTACCATTTATTTTTATTAAAATTTGTAACCGGTCGCATGTTTTGAAAGACACTGTTGAACACTGTACTTGAAACTATTTGAAATGAAACTTCCATTATCTCTTTTAATTGCAAAAATATTTTATTGGAAAATGAATTGAAATAAATAAGGTGTTACACAAGAACTATAACTTGTAGATCACAAAGTCTACTTAGAAGAATTTGTAACTCATGAACTTGATCCATGATAGGCACATTATCAATCATACTAAATTCAAAGTAATTGAATATGATAAATTTATCTGTAGTTTATCGTTCATTATTGTATTTTTCTTCTAAAAACTTCCAAATCTCTAATGGTGATTGAATTAACATGTAGAGATCATAAAATCTATCTGACAAGGTGTTGAGAATGTATCCTCAGCATGCAAAATTGTCCTCATCACGTTTTTTCTTCAATTGGACAATCCTTTGTTTTTCTTCATCGGTTGCATTTTAGCGGCATTGAGAATTTGTGTAGTATTTGGATCAAGCACATAAGCAAGATTTAGTACTGAAAGAAGAAACATTATTTTGTCTTTCCATCGGTTGAAGTTTGTCCCATCGAATCGATCTAGTTTGACAAACTCTTGATTCATGACCTTGAAAGTAATATTCTGATTTTAAGTCATCTTCAATATAATATCTTTCTAAAATTGTTAATAAATTTGGTGTAGAAGATGATGAACAAGAATTTGAGATATTGGTTTCAAGATACAAAATCAATCCCTATCTTTAAAGAGATATTTGCCCCACACAAAGTTGTTATGGGTTGATAACGATACTCCTCTAGATACAATGAAACATTTGAATTTATTGTCTAGCAATAACAAGAAAATTTCTCTCTTGAACCTGAAATTTAAGAGAACTCAAACTCACATGTTACATAAAGTAAAAACCTGCTACATGTTTAATAATGGGAATTATTTATAGTTGATGCTTTAGACCCAAGTAAACAATTACATCTTTTCACTGGAAAGTCATGTCTTTAAAACCAAGAGATACCGTACGAAATTTGAAAGTCACGTCCTTTCATCATTTGGTGTCATCAAAGACATTGTACGTGAACCAACACACTTGTTTATGGTTTCAACTTAGTTTCTATATAGCCTTCACAATTAAATAGTTGTAGTGTTGTGAACGTTACAATGGAAACGGTTAATAATCATTTCATCTTTCTTAATTATTTAAATCATTTATTTTTAAACTTGTAAATATATTTTAATAAAGAGATTTACTAATAACAAGTGTCAAACACATATTATAATAGAATTAGGTGTTAGAATTACCCAGAACAGTTGAGGCTGATAAATCTATTTTTGAGTCCTTCCTTGATTGAGGAGAGAAAACCAAAAAAATAGAGAGAAAACTCCTCCTATCACCCTTTCAGATGCTCTGCATACACTGTCTCAATGGGGTAACAGTTATTCTGAAGTGGTTAGGAGTAGAGGCCTCTCTGATTAATAACAAGATGGGTTGAACTTACCCACTATGGCTCAACCCAATAACAATAACCATAAAATCATATTCACTAATAACTTTAAAGTTATTACAAATAAGCCTAATAATAATAATTATTTAAATATGGGTTAATCGACATAACTCAATATTTTGGCATCAAATTAATCTGGAATTAAATTAAAGTAATAAGAAAAATTTATTTATGTTAGTCCATACATAAAATATCCAATAGTCTCCGACTTGAACAACATAAATCAAAACCATCATATTATTCCAGATTGATCAATAATATGTGGCCACAACAAGATGCCAAAATAAGTCAACACAAACTATAAGCATCTTAATAATGTAGAAAATTACACTCGAAGGAGTAGTGATATCATACATTATAAGATACCTACACCCGGTGACTCAACAACAACGTGGAATATAGATAAATGAGAAAGCACAACAAAACGACATGCCAAGCTATAAATAATGTGCAATTTTCCCAACAAAATGGCCCAAGCATCCGCCCAATGTAACATCCTATGCTTTGTGTCATGCCTGTAGTATATTAATGAGAAAAATCTGTAGTACTTTGTGAGCAGAAAGAAACCGTGTATGTACAGTAACCCCTGATGATCATCAGTGACATCATGCTGATGTCATCGCTTGCATCATGCTGACATCATCGCTTACATCACGTTGACGCTGACATCATCACTTGCATCATGCTGCATCATTGCTTACATCACGATTGACGCTGACATCATCGCTTGCAACATGCTGACATCATCGCTTACATCACCTTGACGCTGACATCTTCAAAAAAATTTCTATAAATAGGGGGGCTTCACATGAAATTTTCATTCCCACCCAAGGTTCTCGAAGGTTCTAAGGCATATCTCGCCATTTTCTCCCATACTAAACCTCCTAAACTTAGATTTCTCTTCAGATCTGTGATTCTACGTCCATTCTAAAGGATTTCAAGTAAGTTTCTCTAAGTTTGAAGTTAGATTTACCGTTCGTTTCCCTTCTTCTTCTTTTTCTTATAGATGTTCATGATGTTCTTAGGAAAAACTCCGTTCTAGAGTTAAATCTTCGGTTAAAATCTTTGTAAAAGCTCTATTTTGAGGTAAGGAGGGCTCTACTTTATCATTTTGTTATGTTTATTACTTGTATTCTCATAGACCTTGTTATGTATGTGATTATATGTGGAATAATCCTTGTTTTATGAAAAATAATCAGTGAAAAGTGAGAATAATTGGCTGTTTATGTGATTTATGATGAATACATGGTGAAAATGTGATATTATGTCCAAATAAGGCATGATAAGGTATATTAAGGATGGTTGATATGATTTTATGATTTTGTGATATGAAATATACAAAGAGATGGATGTTTCATGTTTGAATATATTGTGTTTCATGTAAAAATGATGTGTATTGTGAATATGCCATGGTGTGATGTATATGATGAAAAGTATATGGAAATATAATGAAAAATATGTGTGAACATGATAAATGACATATGTGAACATATGAATATACTTGGAAGAGTATGAGATGGAAAAAGATATGATGTAAATAGTTACAGAGATACACTGGGGAGTGGAAGATGGAGACGATATGGGATATCTAGGGGAAATGCAAGGTGGTGAGTGACATTCGAGATTGTGTACGGAATATTGTGTTCGAATGCACCATATGGCCACACACTCATTTCTCGACTTGACTCCTGACCATTACCTTTGCTAAGGGGCTGTCTATTGCATGCGTTGTATCCGTATTGCATTGGGCCATCTAAGACCTCGAGATAGAGGCATCGGATAACTGTGGCCACAGGGCGTGGTAAGCGCGGATAAAAGTAAAAGAAATTGTGAATCTGTGGAATACAATGCGTGTTGAGATGAGAATATGCTTTATATGACACTGTGATATGTAATTCCATGATGTTTTCTTTAATCGTGATAAGATGTGTTTTGTGATG